ATAAATTAAAATTAACTAACAAATTAATATTTTTAAATATTATTTAAAAGAAAACCTAAAAAATTAATCGTTTTAACATTTTTTGTACGGATAATAACTGCACATGTGACTAGGTACCATTGCTAGATCGAGTTAAGTTAGGTTTACACGACTGCAAGTTAGGTTAATTGCCCCTAGGGAGACCTTGTACACTTTCAGTGGTTATAAACTTCAGTTTTTATATATTGGAAGTTTTTTTTTTATTTTAGTTGCACAATGAAAGGCAATTATTTTTCATCTCCTATCTCACACCATCCGCATATCATATGATTCAAACTCAAAATTTCTTACTTTCAGCGAAAACAGATGATTGACTATATTGGAAGTATTAAGTTTGAATAATAATTAAGGTGGTGGGGAGGGGGGAGAATATTGCTCCTCACAAGGTGGGGTAGAGGGCATTTTCACCCCATGAATTTATGTAGGGAATTTTCTCCTCCCTACGTGGCACATCATAATACATTTTAAACCTAATCCAATAAAAATTAAATTTAACTAAATTTTATTCAACTCAACCCAATCCAGATCTAAGTCTAATCCAATTAAATTAAATTCTTTGTTTGTATTTGAAGAATTTATATTTGATTTTTATATTTGGAGAAATTTAGTTAATTATACTTGAACTTTTAGAATTTTATTCATTATGTTTGAATATTAAATGATTATATTTGGAGAATAAAATTTACATTTTGATATGGATTGGTGGGGAATTGGGATCCCCATCTCCCACAGGAAATAAGAATAGGGGGCAAAATCTACCCTGTCAAAAATCTCCACAGGGATTTCATCTCTGTCATTGATGGAGATGAGGACAGGAGGCGCTCCTTGACTCTGTGAGACTTCGTTACCACCCCTAAATCATAGAATGAGGAGGAAGGAATTTGAAAATAAAAAAGTTAGCTCCTATTATATTACATTATTCATCATCTAACGTATCAAAAAAAAAATTAAAGAGTTAGGTTAAATGGAGTCATCCATCATAAGGTAACTTATGATCAAAGAGTGTAAGAACTCATATGTTATTATTGTGACGACATAAG